ATGAGCTAGAGTAACGTCAGAGATGTCGGGGACGGCCAAGCCAGATGTGAGCTCACTCTTCACGTCGCCTTTGTCTTTGTGCAAGTCCTTGTCCTTCTTGTCGCCACAATCACACTTGGCGTGATGCGACTTGGACTTGCGCGCACCGCGACAGTGCTCGCATTGCTTGACAGGACGACCCTTGGGGTTGATGTGGTGGAGATCCCGATCTTCAAGACGAAATTAGCACTGTAAGGTTGTGAAGCGTCGCACTGAGCGACATACCAGTGTGGTTGCAACCGCTCACTCGGTGGCCCTTGATGCAGGACGAGCAAGCCCATTTCTCGCCATCGATAACAGGCATACCGGGGCGATAACGGCCGAGTGCGGTCGTCGCAGCTGGCTACGAGCAGCTGGGTAGGAGCGGTCCAGGGAGCCAACTGGCTAGAAGCGGCGAAAAATGACGAAATAATGCCACACGCGCGGTGTGAGCGTCTGGGTAAAGATACAGGGAAGAATAGTAGGATTCAAGAGAAGCTAGTTCAAACGCCAGAGGGTATCTTGGGCAATGGTATGGTATGCTGACTTGTAACCGTGAACGCCGGGGAATGAGACCGAGGACGACAGGATGGAGTGGAGAGTGGAGTGGGAGATCAAAGGGGAACCGAGCGCAAGAGGCGCTGGCCGAAAGCGTTAGACGGAGCTCCTTGGGAACGACCAGACCAGTATACTATGTGGTGTTGTGCGGGTGAGGTAGTGATGAGAGGGAAGAGAGCGAGCGGGAGGAACAGGTTAAGAGGAACGCACACGGCCCTGCGCGGCGTGTAATTGGCTGTGGGGCTTAGCGTCATCGGCAAGTGCGCTCAGACCTCGACGCTCGAAGCAAGCGCGATCAGCCATCATGACGGCGGCTCCTTCGGGCTAGCGCGGGAATCCCACACTTGCATGCAAGTGCAAGCGCAGGTGCAGGTGCGAGCCAGCAGCACCTTCTCACCGCATGAATCCTGCCATCCGCCAGCCCGCCGCCGTCGCGATCCACACCGGACGCCTACGACGCCTGCGACGGAGCCTGCTCCTGTGCTGCGCTGGCCTCGCCAGCCCGTCTCTAATCATGCGGGACTCCACGCACGGCATGTTTCATTGCGGACGCGATTCGCTTGTCGAGTCAGCATGTTTCCCTTACCGCGACGGCCGTAACTCGAAGCATCCGTCGCCCGTTGCCAAGTGGAGATCATCACTATTGTCTGCGTCGATAGCGTCCAGCACATATAGAACCGGAAGCAAGCCTATCCATTACTCTCAGGTACAGTGCCCGCTTGTATATCTCACATGAATCCTCCGGCCCAGGGAGCGCTAGCCCGACGACACGAATTTGACCTTTTGTGGGACAAATGGAATTTAGATCGAACAGAGCGTCTAGCCCTTGGGACCACTGGGCACAGCGTTGGCATAATGTTTTTGAAACGGGACCCCATGGCTTCTCCGTGGGGTATACTCTGTCGGTGTATTGCACCGCTCTTATACGGGAGATCCTGGTGATCTTACGCTTGACGCTGCAGCCAGCCGTCAAGTCGTTGATCGTCTCGTGGAACTCTGGTAGCGCTAATCTACGAGAGCCGGAGTAATTACAGCATCTGACATTGAACGACTTCGGATTCGGTATGCACTGGCCTTGTACATAATCGTGACCCGTGAACAGGTGTACGTATATCATATGTTACGGTGATTCTCCAGACCGCGTACCCACCAATGGCTCGAAATTGTTGAACGTCTTGCTCAACGTGTCCAAGTGCACCGGGGACTTTTTATGGCGAGCTCATTGTAGTGTGTGGTGACCCAAGTAAGTCGGCACTAAAACCATCATCTGAACACCAATGGATCAGCGCATGATAGACAGAACGAGGTCAATATCGCGCAGCAGCAGTACAGGGGCAGCAGAAAAATATGGCTAATTCAGCAGTCTCTTGACGTCCATAATGCTATTCATCATCGGTTGCAGTGTGCGGGCATTTCTGATGATGGCTGTGCATGGTGCTCCCACTGGCCGCCCGGAGCGCGTACGGTGAAAAGATAATCCAACAGCGACGTCGTCACCGACCAGTTAGTAGCTTCCGATCCACGCTGCAAGCAGATAACATCTCCCATGTCTTAGGAAAACGACAACCACCATAATGTTGTTGTCACTTTCCCATTCATCCAAGGCCATGAGGACCTGCTCCCTCTTGCCATGGTTCACGCTAGCGCAAAAATCGCAAAGCTCGCACAACTCTCCTCGGCGGCCTCTTACACAACACGCTCCTCTCGCTTTCCAACACCAGAACCTCGCGCGCGATCGCGCAACAATACCGGACCGGTGCTCTGGATAACTCCCAACGACATTTCTACTCGCAATCTCGAATACGACGCGCTGAAAAATGGCTGGCTACGGGGACTCGGATACGCAGATGGGAGGAGGGCCAGGCCAATACGCGAACCAGAATGGCACACCACCCGCGCAGCAACACCAGCTGACTGACCCCGAATTGCGCCTACAAGAGAACCTACAGCAGCTGCGCGACGGCGGAGACATGATGCACCCGGTCGGTCCCCAGCAGCCTCAGTACCAGCAGATGGCTCATATGGGGCCTGCAATGGGCGCGCATCCGCATTTTGCAGGTCCAACGCGCCCGACGCATTCTCCACAGCAAATGGCGCAACATGTCATGAATATGGACGGACATCACGACCCGTACGATCCCAACGACCCGAATCGCAAACGCTCCAAAGTCTCACGCGCCTGCGACGAATGCCGAAGGAAGAAGGTATGCGATGCCTCCAATCCTGCACAACATGCGCTTACGCTGGGTAGATACGATGCGACGCGACCAGCGAGAACGGCCCAGAAGCCTGCTCTAGTTGCAAACGGACTGGCGCCCGCTGTCAGTTCAGCCGTCAGCCTATGAAGCGCGGCCCGAGCAAAGGGTATGTGGATTGCGTGCAGTTTGGCGAGTCTGCTAACAATTTCCAGCTACATCAAAGAACTTGCGGACCGCCTTAATTCGCTCGAAAGCCAGATTCACCATCCTCCGGCGCAGTCGCATAACTTCGATTTCGGAACGTTGGGCGATCAGCCGTTTCCCGATACCCAGAGCCCACCGCAGTTCAAGCGTCAGCGCACTCACTCCATGACAGACGGGTTCCACGAGGCTTTCAGCCGGCCCAACTGGTCCGCACAGGATCGCGGTAATGGTGGATCTGTAGACGCACATGGTCTGCCTGTATTAGGTGATCAAGACTCGTCGCTCAATGGCAACCGTCGTACCTCTTTTGGAGAAATGAGTTTGGGCGGGAGTCTTATTACAGGCTCTCATGAAGAGATTCTCAAAGCGTACGTATACCCGCACATGTGCATTTTGCCAGACACTAAACCATATCTCAGGTATTACAACATCATTCATCCCACGTTGCCTGTTCTGCCACATCACGAGTCACAACTAAACCGCCTTACAAACTGTCCGTCGAAGCTGCGAGAGACGTTCTTCCTCGTACTAGAAGGATGTATCCGGTCCATCGCCTCGAAGGCTCTGCCACCTATCGATATCAGTCTTAATCAGCTGTTACAACAGTGCTTTACTTCAGTCGACGCGGCAAACTATTGTCTTCATGACACGGATAGCTCACGACGGTTCTATAACCACTTGGTGTACTGCCAGTCACTGATTCTGCTTGCCGCAGCATCTGACAGGCCTGGCCCAAGCATTATAGGTAGTACTACTGGACTGCTCGCCCGTGTCTCAGCGTGCATTGCAGATGTCGGAATAAATGATGCCAGAACATTGGCTGGACTGAAAGAACAAGATCTCGAAGTGTATCAGACAGCTCGCCGCGTATATTGGACTGCGTTGATCATAGACCGTTTCCACGCGTCTAGTCAATCGACGGACATGATGATTCGACGATACTCTGGAACACTTTCGCGAGACGATTACTCAGCCCTGGGTGAAGTCGCTTATTATCTCGCTCGTAAGTGCAAGCTCTTTCCATTGATGACTATCCGAGACTAATCTTCATCAGGTGTTGCCCTACTCGTTGGCCGCATAGCCTACGTCAATCGCGCAGGAAGCATCCCAAATGTTGACCCAGCAGCTCCTTTCGCCTTTTCCGCGCTCAAACCCGGAACCACGGAGTCAGAGTACCTCAACGGAGCACTAGATGAAATCAAGCAGTCCATCGATCTGACCACCTTGACGAATAACTCACCCCCTCATCTGGCGCACCAGTATCTCAGAGTCTTCATCGCACGACTTTCAGGGCAGAATTTGTCTTCAGCCGAGGTTCTCGAAGTCACCAAAGACCTGCTCAGCAACCTCATGAGCGGCGCTATCACTCCCTTGCACCACATCTTCGCTGCCCTAGTCGCCACATCCCTCACTGAACTAAACGACCGAGGCGAACTAAAAGCAGAAGCAAGCGCAACCATCAAAGAAATGAGCGACGCCCTATCAAACGGCCAAATCATCCACCGCAGCTCCGACGGTCTCGGATGGGAAACCGCAATCGGCGACCTACTCCACAAGAAGAAGTCTTCCACGCCCCCTTACACCGGTCCCGAACAAGCCAGCCCCGCGCTCGAACCCAACATGGCCGGCCTCCAACATCTCGCCGCAGCCGCAGTGGGAGAACGGGAAGGCACTGGTGATAACAATCGTCCTGGTAGTTCTTCGCAGCAGAAGGTTGATAATGATCTTTCGGCTGCTATGGCGGCAGCGAATGAGGCTGCTAAGGCGCAGGCGACTGCTGTTGCGGCTCAGGATCTGTTCCACTAGATGTGGTGAACGTGGTTGTGCGTGAGCGATGCTTGTCTTCTTTTTTGTAGTGGATATACCCCCTTTTAGCGGTGAGCTGGTATGATGGTCTGAATTGTAGGCTTGTATCATTTTGTAATGAGGTTCGTTTGTCTACTTGTTCTGTTGAACCCAGGAATTGTGAGATGTTGTGCCCCCATCCTTGCTACATTTCGGGTGCATACGCAGTCTTCCGCCTTACTCGTCCACAGCATCGCTCTCGACCTCATCAAGCGATTCGCTTTCGTTTTCTTCGATCAAACCGTGCTCGCCTTCATCAACCATGATGACACCCATTGCTCGTCTACCTGCAGCATGTGCAGTCTCGTCCTCTTGCTTCATTTGATCCAACAAGATGTTCATTTCCGGTACTAGTACGTCGTCGATAAAAGATAATAGATCTCCGTCATGCGAGTCGTACCGTGCGTCAAAGAGAGGTACCAAGTCTTCTAGCAGACGTACGAGATAGGCGTCTTCTTCTTGGACGCGGCGCAACCTGTCTGGGGTGTATCGCGGTGGAGGCGCACGCTGAAAGTGGGGTTCGTCCGCGCAGTAAATGGAAGCCATAAAAAGCGAGAGATTGCGACAGGTGTGTCGAATGCCTAGCCAGGAAAAGACACATAGCCTAATAAAGTTGGTTATAATCCACCTATTCGCCGCATCCTTTGCCACATCTGCTACGCATTGGAAAGACTTCCGACACTTTTGATACATATCTCGATCGTGGATTCCAACGCGCTCTAACCTTAGTGGACCCCACATCCCTTCCCATTTCCTACTTCTTGTACAGAAGTACTGGAATTCGGGACTATTGTAGAAAGAAACCATGCTAGTACAGCCGTGTGTACTACAGCTGCATTGGCAATCGTCTGTGACCGTGTGTCGGAACATTCTTGCAATTACATCGTAGAGATCTTCTATAATCGCTGATTCAGTGTTGAGCAAGTGGGCCACTTCTGTGCTGATGAAATGTGACGCGGTGATCTTTGACTCCGGCCAGCAATCGGTGATATCCGCCCCTTTGCTTAGGAACCAGTCTATCATTTTGAAGAACTCCGGTATTTCGCCAGGATAACCATGATGTTTCACCCATAATGCGATTCCGATGAACAACGGCGAGCAAGCCATATCGTAGCAGCATTCTTTGTCTACTATAGCAACGTCCTTGAAGCCGGTGTCGTACAGGAGTTGTAAGATCTTTAACGGCGAAATTGACTCGGGGTGTAGAGATTGGTCATAGATCTTGCGGACATAGTATACGTGGGGTGAAGTCGGCCGAAGAGAGGGCGGAATCTTGAGGCCTATTTTGTCAAGTGCATGCGTTGCACACGTGGCGTGGGCGTCAAGGACGTCTTTTGATCTTTCGACGCACTTGCATTCGATGCCAGATCTTTCTATCATCTGTCGAAGCTGGTGTCTCTGTTCGATCAGATGTGCGGCGACGATCTCTGCTATATTCACTTGAGAACCTGCCAATGCGTGTATAACGGCAAGTTCCAAGCCTCCAATAGCTGCAAGACATTCTGCCTCAGCATTTTCGCGTACATCAAGCCAAAATTGCACCATAGCTTGACTCTGAGAGTCCACGGCCTCCAAGAGAAGCAAGTTAGGCGACGGTGCCGGAGGTGCATCTGAAGTATAGCTCAAGTTAGCATCGAGGAGGATCTGGCAGCCGCGTGTCCAGCCCATAAGAGCTGTCATATGATACAACTTTGATACCTCTCCTTTTTTCCACGTGTGGTTAGAATTGTGCGTTTGTATCGCACTGCTGAAGTCCATTTCTGATCTCAGCAACGCTGCCACGGTGGTGTCACCAAGGTCAAAGAAAGGATCTGGGAAAGATGTGAACGGAATTCCGACCCACGAGCTATAACTTCGGACAGAGTCAATCGCTGTCGATATCCTCAGGTCATAACGCAGAAGATCGGACCCCAAAATCTTGAGTAAGTATTTGGACGCGGTATAGAAGCTCGAACTCCGCAGGAGGAGGTCTACGCATGTTCTAATCTTATACGATTAGTCAATCTTCGGCATTCAGCAATGTGTCTTGTTTACCTTCCGTTGTCATCAGTATCCGATGCATCTGCGTAAGTCATGTAATTTAGAAGCTGATCTAGGAATAATTGATTGGTATCAAGGCTGTTGGGGTCCATTACGTTCACCATGTCATTGAAACATGCACAAAAGTACTATTAGCGTTTAGCAATGCCCCCAATAGTTAGAAGAAGTGGTCAAAAGCTCACGTGTAATAGTGTTGTTCCATCCTTTAAACGTTCGTGCGGTGAAGCCTGTCGTGTCTGGAATATCTGTGTGAGCTCCGTAGAGCGATTCAAGGAACCAAGTTCATCAGAATGATGTAGCATGTCTCTAATCAGCCTGAACGCCGGTGAAGATTCTTCAGTGACGATTCGATGAAACGATAAGCTCGGCATGATCGATAAAGTGCCACTTCCAATTGTCAATTGCATGAACAAACGGAGCTTGAGGCCAAGGATCAGGTCACAGAGTACCATTCCAAATCCGATTGTCATATCATGGCCTCCAGACGTCCAGAATGGGCAACTTGTATCATGGTAATGTGCTTTGCTCCGTGACACGACGAACGTCGACCGCACATATTGCTTCCTTAGTAGGCGCTTGCGGCATGTGCATGATGCAAAAGCATTCGAATTCTCATTCCGTTTGGAGTGCTTTGCTCTCACCCTGCGCTCAAGAGTCTGAAGAGCCGTGGCCTCCTCTTCAAGACTCACTGCGGACATTGGCAGTAGTGTACGGCAGAGATTGTTCCTTTCCTCTGTTATGGGTAAGGGTTGGAAACGGATAGCACATGTCTCTTGAGCAAACACTTGATCGTGCTGGCCGACGAAGGGTTGTATGAACCCGATGTTGTTTTGGGTTGTGGACAATTGTGCGCCTGGAAGCTGGCTCTGGTCAACGAGGTAACGATCCGGCGGCGTCTGGACGCGTCGCTGCTGATCGAGTATCATCTGGGTATTCAGCGACAGTTGACCAAGCTGTTCCTGTACAGTCGCGAAGTTCTGTTGCCACTTATCCCTATGCAATATTAGCTGTAATGTCATTGATTACACACTAATGCGGCCATTACATCTCTAACGCCTGCAACGCAATCTGCAAGTTCTGTCGAATACTGCTCAAAGCGTCTCTCCAATACTTGATATCGCTTTCTTTGAACGGATATGCTAGCCGTTTGATCACTTTCCGCGAGTGGGTCGAGAATCTGCTGGAGCTTGTCGAAGGAGTGTCATCTCCGACCTTCGTCCTGATCGACTCTATGGAGAGCGCGCATTGCTGTATGATAGCTTTCACCAATGCGATGGGTGTAGAGGGGTCCATCCTGCTAGTAGCGGTCTCCAGATACTCGAGTAGATCCACCAGTGTGTCCAGTTCGCGGGTAATCTGTCCAGCCTTCTTTTTCGCGTCTTTGACGCCGTTGGTGTACTCGGAGAGTTTGTCGTACAACTGGAGGGAAAGCGATATGACACCAACAATGGTGCCGGCCACTTCGGCCATGGCGGGCGTACACAGAGATGGAAGGTGCGATGAAGCGAAAGGCTGGAAAGTGGGCAGATGATAAGACTTTTTAAGAAGGCGCAGCACAGCTGTGCGCCTACCGCCGATGGCGTCCACTCATTGGAGTCGCCGGTGCGGGGATCAGCCCAGCCTTGCGACGATGTCAACCTTGCGGGCTTTCAGCCTGGTCTCCGCTACGTGTCAGCTTGAGGAATCTGAGCACGTTGGCGTGATTTATGCGCTTCATTGAGTGTCAACAGCTTGATCTTTATGCAGATTGAAGTCACATATACGCGCAACAGCACCGCGTACTGCATTGAAGAAATTCATGCATTACCAACTCTTAAGCCATCCCCAGCAGGCCCTTCAGTCTAGCTACCTTCCCGATAATAATACCCTTCAGCCCCCCAGCACCCATAGTAGGCACCTCATCCACGCCCACAAAGCGCCTCACAAGTAGGTTGAAGATATTGCCAAAGCCCAACGCCATGACCGTACTAGTCAAGATAATAACGTTATACGGCATACTGAAGTCGGGAGTGGGAAGAGGAAGAAGCAGCGAAGTAGTGCGGACGTAGATACCCTTGTTATCCCCCGACTGAGGAGACAGAACGCGGATAACGGCAGGTGCGACGTCGAAGCCTCGATTCGCATCTGGTGGGTATTCTGTGTAGCGCAGAATTGCTTTCTCGAAGTCATAAGTGAGGGTGAGGGTAGAGGCTGGTGGGATGACCATGCGTAGCTCGAGGTGGGTGCCACGCTTGCGGTCGACTGCTGGTCGGTAGTAGGTCTCTTTTATGGGGCTTTCATCTGTGGTGTCGACGCGGGCTTGGAGCGTGTGAAGGTATGGCTTCATGAACCAGGGCAGAGACTCTAGGTATACTATCTCGACTGCGTTGGTGGTAGACGGGTTCTTGATGACGGACTGTGTACTACCGCGTTCCTGGCCGTGACCGTTGATGGATCTTGCCGCAAAGACTAGAGGATCGGGACGGACAAGACCGGTTTTCATCTTCTGCTCGGGTAGGACGAGGTCGAGGTCTTCGCCGATGGGGAGCTTGTAGCATCGGAGGGTGTCTGATGCTAGTCTAGACTCTGTGAAGTCTCCTGTTGTCTTGACCTCGAGTTCGCGCTCCGGCGGCAAGTTGATGCAAACGTTATTCGCTTCTCCCTCAGCCTGATCTGCGAGTGGACAGGCTCCCCTGAGCGGTCTTCCAAAGACCTCCTCCAGTGTCCAGGCGGGCTCGGTGCCCTTGTTCAGAGGATAGCAGGTATCGTGTCCGTTGTATGGCTTGGAGGTATCGCATTCCATCTGGTTAATTGGTAGAGGTCGCGGGATAGGGTTGTCTCTGGGACGTTTGGCTCGCGCAATGTCCAAGACCATGTCAACGCTTTGCTCCATCTCGATCGAACAGCTTGAGCTACCCTCTTCGCACGTCGGGCGTACATCGATGGCCATGGTTTGGAATGAAGCGTCGAATAGTTTGTGTCCATCCAGAAGGCTGGATACACCGGCCTTGCCCTTGCAGGGTAGTAGCTTGAGAAAAGGTGTAAGATTCTCCGTGCAGACGACTTCGTGGGGTAGCGTGCCGTGGAGGACGTGAAGGTTGGACGAGTTACGGTGTTGACCTTCGGGGTCAAATGACATGACGGGCCGTATGGTCTTGGTGGCATCGATGAAGTTGATCGAGGCACAGAAGAGGCCCGAAAGGGCGTTGGTAAGCTTCAGCCATCGTGCGAATGCTCTGTTGCAATTAGTCGAAGTCCTCGCCCAATGCATGGGAGTCATACTCTTCCTCAGTATCAGCCTCTACCCAAGCCCAAAGCTCAACACCAGTCCCTCCTTCTCTTGCACCATTCCATGGCCGCTGTCCCCAATTCTCAGCATCCCATCTTCCAACACTGAACCTCAAATGTAGCTCCCTCGTATGCGCATGTTGCAGAATCTGTCCAAAAGATCGCGGGAAGTATCGGAAGTTTTGTTGTTCGAATGCAGTCGCGCTTTCGTTGCTCCGAAAGTTGAAAGAGGCCAGAAGGGTGTTCTGGGGAAGGGGTCGCAGGAGGAGGCGCTCGCTGTAGTCGGCGCCCGCGGAGACAAATGCAATCAAGGCATTGAGCAACACAAAGTAAAAAGACGAGAGCATCGCAGCATCGTAGCGCTCTCTACGCGAAATGTGAGCGGGAAGACTGACGATCGGCCCTTGATGTTGGGGTTGCGGCGGACATGTGGAGTGAAGGCGCCCCACCGGTGATTGGTCACCCGGCGTGGATACTTGGCACTGCCGCGGTCGCGATTTCTTTTGGCAGTCACTCACCTTGCAGCTCTCCACATCACGACCCAACCGCGCATCCCTAATATATACACATCATGGCCGCCGCAGAGACGCGCAGGCTGCTTGGTAGGTCCCCCGAAATCGCTTTTACTAATACGACACCATGCTAACGCGACACAGAGCAGCTTATGGGCGAACAGCTCATGAGTGGAACCGACCAGCGCGCGCCCCAGCTAAACA